CGGGCATCAGACACAGTATTACACCTGACTACAGCAGCAATTGACCTCACTACCTCTGACTAAGCCCAGAGTGTCCAGATCTAAGGAAGGAAACACCGATATATCTCTCTGTCTTTCTGTTTCTGTGTAACACAGCCACGAAAAAGGAAGATGAGAGGATGAAAGAAGAGAAAGGAGACAGAGGAAGGGAAACAGAAAGGGAGAGGTATAAAGCCAAAGCTGGGAAGAGACGAGTGGGCGGCGTCCAAAAGTTATTAAAACTCTTCTTTATGGGGAGCCAACAAATAAATGTGAGATATTAAAAATTAACCCTATCAGACCAAGGCCAGAGAGAGAGGAGCAAGTGAAATGAGAAAGAAAAGGTAAAGATAAACTAGAATGGGTCCTTCTTTTCACAGATATAACAAAATGTTTCAAATATCTTCCTAGCATCGTGTTAGCCATGCATGACTGCAGGCAAAGTTAAATCCTCTTGGTGTGCAGAGTGCCAGAAAATACCTGCATGATCTAACCAGAAATAACATTTGAGGGAAATAATCTAAATAAAGGTGAAAAGTGGGAGGTGTGTGAGGGATAAACGCAATTAAGAAAACCTCAAAGTTCGCATTTAGATTGTAACAGTGTATATTAACAAAGCAATGAACAACTTGGCAAGAGAAAGCATTTAAAGAATATTTATTTGTTATGTAAAACAGTATCGGACTACTTGTTTCTTTAAAGTGAGAAACATAAAATAGAAATATTTCCAGTAGCCAGTGCTTTGTTGCTTTGTGCTGTGTTGGTGTAGTTTGTGTACAGTGCCTCGCATTGAAAGAGGAAATTCAGTTTGGAGCTTAATATGGATAACAGAAAAGGCTGATTAAAGGCATGAGACAATAATAAAAAACAGATCGGGTCTGTCTCCAATCAAACTGTGTTTAAGGTAAACACAGAATTACAGCATGTAAAAATACGCCCCTGTCAAACTGCCATAAGGGCTACTTAAAAAAACTGCATTTGACATGTATAGTAGATTTCACGTCTATTTTATTTGCCAAGAATCCGATGTGTGTTGACTGATTAATACCAGGAGTGAAAGCGGGTCATTGCATGGCAGCAGTTAATAATTAAGGTTGAGAGAAATAATAAGAACGGTAACTGAAAATCAATAATAACCGATTATCATAGCATGACACAAAACTTTTTGACACCGCTGACCAAAATTAATTACTAACATGTGCATGTGATTTCTCAGCAAGCTCTTAATACAATATTGTTCTCTACAAGGCATTTTGAATGTGTCAATATGACTAATTGCACAAAAAACAGTTTAATTAGAAACTCTTACAGATACAGTAAAACGAAAGGCTGGGAGATAAACAGCTACTTAGAAGAGGTTCAGAGTGTCACCGTAATCGCTGTTTGGTTAAGACGACCACCTCTCCACCTTTCAAAACATTTTAAAACCAAAACATGTTAATGACCAATGTGACCCGTGTTGCTCGGCTGCAAGTTAGATGGAAAATAAATGAGGTAGAGTCACGAATTGGACCAGACTAAATCAAAAACTTCTCGCAAGCACAGAAAGAGGTTGATGAACACCGGGAACAAGGTGCAAGATGTCAAAACTATAAACAACAATCATGCTTGTGACAGCTAGGAGGGTCCAGGGCATAGAAACTACTGATGCACACAAACAGGCAAAAATACTCACACAGCCACACACAGGGAAGCCCATGCTCACTGACATACCGAGACGCACACACACAGATACAAACACACAACAACTCTCAGCTGGCTTTCAAAACAAAGGTATTAATCATCATTACACACATACACACAAACACAAAACACGGGTGGGCCGGGGCTGTTGTGCCTGTGGGACTCGTCAAAGAGACACATTGACACCTCGGTGCAGCCTTTATTGCTGCTGTCATAGCAACCAAGGTCAAGTGGTCTAAAGCTGTGTGTGTGCATGTGCATGAGAAGGAATTGTAACACCCTCCCAACAGAACTGGTAGGAAATAATGAGCTAGTCGCTGTCAGGATAGAGTAGGACGTCGACACAAATCCCTCAGCTGTGCACGACGACACCACCTGTACAGGCCTACAAGCAACACCACACCCACGCACCACAATATTTCACCAGCCGAGATTATCTGGAGCAACAATCTAAAAAGCGCCTCCGTATAATGTTCAGAAAATCAGCGGCTTAAATTTGAGAGTAACGCACTGGTTGATGCTATTACCACAGCATTCCAAAACACAACATTTGAATTCAGTTTGCCTGACACCTGTGGAGCACAGAAGAAATAGTGAATGTAAAGCCCTGTCTTCTCCGGGAAATTGTTTAGTCAAAGTGGTATGCCCCTTGGATCCTGAAGCATCTCATCTCATGATTAATTTAGTTAGCAAATTATGACCTAAACACTCACACTCTTTAAATATATATGACATGCCATGTGAAATAGCAGCGCAGTACTTTTCCCCCAACGGTTAAGGTTTTATTTCATTTTATTTATCATAAGTGTAATAATTTTTATGGTGTTTGTGGGGGTGGTCTTCATCTCAGGCGAGTTGTGCTACCTTTTTTGATAGAACACTGTGGGAAACTGTACAGAGCAATAATACAGTTTAAATTACCCAGCTGTGTATTGATACAGCAGTTTATGCAAGGTTTGTTTGATGTGTTCAGGTGACGTTTAAATCCTTACCTCCCCCACCCTACCACACCAGGCCAAAGCAATCAAAATGTTTCTGAAAATATCTCATAATTAAAATTTCTTGCTAATACATTACATTGTTGTAAACATTATAGCACGTGTCTGCATATTATGAGCCTTTATTGAAGACATGAGGGGAAACATGGAACAAAAGGCTGTAAATGATTAGAGCCTTAAATCCACACATTTGAATCACACACCATTTGATTTTGTCCTTGGTGTGGACATTTACACTGTTGACCTTCATATTTTCTTTAGGTTAACCCTGTGAAAAGTCGGATACCAGGCAGACAAGGCAGGCCAGAAGTACAAACCATACTAATCTACCAGTCAAGAACAATCCTGCACAAAGAGAAACCCATTCGGATGTTCTTCAGCACAGACTAAACACAATGTCAATGATAACTTTGTGCAGAGGACTCTGAAGTGCAACTCAGTGGTTTGAAGTTCAGCTCTCTTCCATAGTTAAGTTTATTCTTGTTTCAGTCAGTATCCTGACTCCAAACACAGCACCTGTTGTAATGTTAAGTGGAGTGGTGTCACTCTTAACAATCTGCCACAATCCCCCGAAGAAGTGCAAATGCACAAAACAAAACATTGTTTCTTTATTCTCATACATTATTAAAAACATGAGCTAAAGGCAATCGCTAGAAGCAGAGCCTGTCTAAATGTTATGCTGGCTGGGGTCTTGGGTACAAATACATGCTGTTTGAATGACTGATGAGTCAAAAACACTTTGAAAAGCTCACAAAACAGGCACATACGGTACTTGCACACTCTCACACATAGTACAGTTACCCAGTGCTCACACTGACAGAAGAAAGTATCACAATCAGCCAAGCAGTGTCTACAGTAGATCAAGACCAGTGGAGTTTATCCCAGTGGCTGTGGATCAGCATCCTTTTGTGGTTGAACAAATCCCCATGGCCTTGCATAATAATATCACATGAATCAACAGATATCTAGAAGTATCTTGACTTGGGCTCAAGCTGAGACCTAAGCTTATACATGTTAAATCCACACCAAATTCTCACAACTGGACCTACTCGTTCAGTTGTGATACGCCTGTGGACAACGTCTTAATCAGCCTGTTGTGCAGTTAACCACCCACACATTCCATGAAAATAATAAACTGGCGATTTCCCTGTGCCGTTATTACATGTGGAATGTATCAAAGAGCATCTGTTCAGTTGAGATGACTCTGTGTCTATTCTCCAGCCGGAGGGAAATTAAAAAGAAATCAGACAATTTGGGGAGACAACTGCTACTAAGTAGCAGAAATTCACTTATAAAACATGAATTTTATGTCCCTTATTGATAACAAATTCTGTGATCAACGGCAGTCATTTACCATCCCTCAAAGTGAGACTATGTGCTTGTTAACTCTTACATGCGTCAGGGAACAATCAGCACACCATTCAAAAACAAATGTGTTTTATTATCCTTACTGTTTTGAATCCAATTTAAAGCGCTGAGAGTGGGCAGTTCCACACATCAACTTTAATTTAGTATAAGTTCAATGTGCAGCTGAGCGTGTAATGTTAATTTTACCTGTGATCCTTTGAATAAATCAGCACTGTTTTGAAGTTACTTGGACTGTCTCATCTCTCAGAGTTAGCAATGGTAACAAGAGCCATAATACTACACCTCCATTTCTCCAGTGTTTACTTTGACAGGCAGCAGTTCAAGTCCGATGAATAAACTTAAATAGTACAAAGCAATGACACCTCTGGTAGTTTATGTCTTTTATGTCTTTGCATGGTGGTGGACTGGAACAAAGGGGCGGCCAACCTGAACTACTTCACCGCTGTGGCCTACACAAGGGAGGCAGCTCACAACCTGACTGGGTTCATCCAGACTATGGAGGTGTGTATTTATATTTATCACACCCAAAGAAAATGAACAACTATGCACCTCAGCAGAATTTTTTAGTCTCTTATCTCTGATAAATGTCATTTTGTTACAAAAAACTATGATGAAAAATGTTCCTGATGACTATCTTAACGCAAAGACTTTTCCAACAACCAGCTGTGTCTGCAAAGATATAAACATTAAAAATGACTAAAAACTAGACTAAAATACTGTAATAATGGGTGTTGAATGCCTGCAGGAGGGGGGAGCATCTCTGAGCTCAGTCTACTTCATCGGCATCAGTCTGGGAGCTCACCTGGCTGGATTTGTTGGAGCAAATCTGAAGGGGAAGATCGGACACATTACAGGTAAAACATGGAGCATACAGGTGTAAGTGGCAGAGCTTTTTCCATTTCCTCCATTTCTGCCATCAGATATTTTTGTACAGTTCCTGATATTTTTTGTACAAAATAATATAACAGAGTATTTTCTTCAAACTTAAAAGTTTAATTCACAATAACGATGAATCTGAACAACAATTTGCACACTATTTAATCTTCAAATATATTGACAATAAATCACTGAAAGGTCCTTAAGCAGGGTAGGAATCCCCATATCGTTGATCTCATAGTTTGATTGGGTACAAACCTTGTCAGTCATTCTACCAAAATCCCTGATTTGCTAGTGAGATTGGGAAGTAGTTCGACTGTGGGTCAGCAAATTGGTTGGAGAAATGAGAGGAAGCACTAGGAATGGGAAGGAAGTAGATATGATATTCTTTGTAAACTTTTGTTACTTTTCATACCTTTTATTTTCCTTGCTTATACATTTTAAAATTGTATTGATGACAGCTGTACTGTACTGAGTGAAACTTTGGAACTGCATGCTGTAAATTCTGTAGAGACAGGATGCCTGTATCTCCAAGTAGCCAGACAGCCTATTTTACATTTTAACAAAGACCTGTTGGCCTGTTTTGCACCCACACCTAAACCCACTTAGCATATTCCAAGTTCTGCTTTGTCATGGGGTGTCCTACAGAGACAGGGGGCCTACAACCTGAGACGACCACCTGGCCAGTTTAGCATACTTTTTAGCATCACACACACAGGGGGCCTGCAACCCAGACCACCCACTGTTCACTGTTCATTGATCAAGATCAAGCTGCCACCTGAAAAACACACTAACACACACCTGGTTTAGATCACATTTCAGCAAGCAGGCGCAGACAGGGGTTGACCTACTCATGCCAAATGGCCAATAGGATTATGAAGTGTTGAATGTTGTACCTCTGTCCAAGGCGGGCCTTCCTCAAGGAGATAAATTCAATGAAAACATGTAACTCGGGGTTCAGAGAATGGATCTCCTGCGGGAGCTCTGTCTTTCTGATCCCAGCACTGTATGGACTTCACCTGTGCCCAGACTTTGAGTAAACTTCCTGTTGATTTTAAACAGTCCTCTCCTGTCTTCACTTCTCATGCTTCCAACAAAATAATTGGGTAATTTCTAACAGTACATTGAAGTTGATGAAGAAGCATGATACAGGGGAATGTGAGTTGTGTAGGGTACAGGAAACTGTGGAACATGTTATTATGAGTTGTCCCAGGTTCAGGCAGGAGAGGGAGATATTTAAAAAATACAGTTTTAAGCGTTAGAATGAACTTTAGGCATTGAAACCAAACTCAGGGGATATAGTAAACGGTAGTGATGGTCCTCTGACATCCGAGGCTCTGACTCATATTACGAAGCGGTTGAACTGAATCACTGTGCCAAAGTGTGGTTTGGTCACGTGACTAGTGATGTATGAACCACTTTAATGCTTCATTTGGTATGGAAACCTCATCACTCCAGTCTAGAAAGTGGTGGTAATACACCTAAAGCTGTTTGCCAACGCCATTGAACAGCAGCAGAAGAAATCCTGTCAGTGGTTTGGTTGGCTTGGCTCTTTGGGAGAGCTGAGCTGAGCCTTTGAAGCAAATAGAGACTCAGACAGAGATTTGGTTTGACGGTGTTGCGTTCAGTTCTAAAGATTTTATAACATTACTAAACCATGATACTCGGAGCAAATGAAAACAGTTGATTTAAGCGCTGTAACATGCACACTGGTGGGAGTTGATGAAAGATCATGGAGTGTAGTAGCTAATGTTACTCAAGTAGGTGAAACGACCACTAAGTAATGTGACTGGAACTTGTAGTGGATCATGAAAACCACAGTCTTGCAACAATGTAACATGGGTTTGATTCCTGACAAAACTGAGTTAGCTCATTAGTTTGAAATGAGATCACATTTGCCATCTAGCCACTATTTAACATCTTTTAAGCTATGGACATGACGAAATCCCCCAAAAATCCATGAACCAATAAATGACACATCTCGATTGCACTTCATTTCTCCATTAGACAGAGGAAGAAGAAGAAGTAGAACAGCAAGTGCAAAAATTTCAACAGCAGAAAATGCCATGGTTTAGCATTAGCAGTGAGCCTGATTGAAAACGTAATCAGTTCCCCCGGCTTTTGACTTTTTCTACAAGACTGTATGTATGCTGGACTAATGCTTGGGTGAGTTTTGTTCACTGTATTCTTGTGATAAAAACGATGTCCAGCTCTTGTCACATCTTGGCAACAGACAACTGAAAAATGAATGTTTTGATGTGTGCACTGCACTGTTACTTCAGAAAATGAAAAATGACAACGGCTGTTACATGATATGATATGTGGACCCTAAAACGTTAAACAGCTGAAATTCGCAAGACTTAGAGCTTGTTAAAGATGTATAGCATGTCGTAGTTGTGTTGACATAAAGTTCACTACAGACAATGGAAGAGGGTGTGTTGTCACAGGTGTGTTCCAGCTTCGATTTTATGCTAATGCTAATGTTTCTGCTTCTTGCTGCGGGCTTTTGTTTTTAGCTTTAGTGAAGCACATCAAATCACAGCATTTTGTATGACGTGATGACATTAATAATTTAGAAAAACAAATGTAGTACAAGAAAATTCAAGTTTAAAAAGATCTGTGTCCCCCTCCAGGTCTGGACCCAGCTGGGCAGATGTTCATCAGCGCCACCCTAGAAGAGAGGCTGGACCCCTCAGACGCCATGTTTGTGGACGTACTTCACACCGATATGAACTGTGACGTTGGTGTAGGGCTGTACCTGACTGAGGATTTTGTCTGTCGACCGTTTGGTGCAACTATTTGATTATTTTTTCATTTTCTGTTTTTCTTTCTTAAATATATGTATATCCTAGACTATCAGAAAATCAACCGTAATATCAGTGACGATTTCCACCACATTAACATCTGTCTTTAAATGCAAAAGAGTGACAGGAACATATTTCTGACATTTAAAAATAAATAAAGACAGCTGCATGATGCAAGATTTAAATTGACAATACATAACGTCGGGCTGCTGTGTGGATTTGTTAGAATAATGAGACAGGTATCACATAGTATGTTTGTTGAAACTACGCTATTATAGACAGGTTTTTCTTCTGAGTCATAGTTATGGCTGAGTTTACCAACAAGTTGGAGCTTCTCCCGTCAACTGACCACAGCACGCATTGCAAACAATTCCTCTTATTTATAATTCCTCCGTGAAATGTTTCCCCGGTGCATTTTTGTTATTTTTGGACTATGCAGGATTGTCATCATAAGATTAAGGGTCCTCTTTAATTCATGTAGGTTATTATTAAGTTAGTTTACAGGTATTTTAAGAAAGTCTTATTTAAGTGACACTTGTGACCAGTGTTACTCTCAGTGAATCTCTGTTTTCTGTGGTTTCCGTCTGCAGCCTTCGGAATGAGAGGAGCTCATGGTCATATAGATTTTTACGCCAATGGTGGCGCAGACCAGCCAGGGTGTCCCAGAACCATCTTCACAGGTGAGCACACACACCAGCAGAATAAAATCCATTCATTAATACACAGAACTGCTCACTGCCGTGTTGTCTCTTTCTCCTGCAGGCAAATCCTACTTTGTATGCAACCACCAGCGCTCCGTGTTTCTGTTCCTCTGCACTCTGAACCAAACCTGCAGCCTCACAGGTTACCTCTATTTGTCCTACAGGAACTTCCTGGATGCCCGCTGTTTGCAGTGTGACGCCTTTAAGCCTGCTTCCTGCCCTGTGCTTGGTAGGTGGTGCAGTGAACTTAATGTACATAATACAAATCCTCTGATGCAAGTAAAGGGGATTATTTGGTGCCACAAATACTTGTGGTAGTAAATAATCTTGGCCATGTATGAAGGCCAGGAGCCCTAAGTGTTTTTAGTTTTGTCAATATGGCCACCGTTCAGTTGCGGGGCACAGCTCAAAATCTGGTCAGCGCAGCATCAATTTGAGTCAAGTGGTGCATTTTCCACTCTCGCTCTATTTGGCATAAAACAGAGTCCAACCTGTTCATATATAACAAGTCAGATACTGGTGAGCAGCCGGTCTTCACCGGCCTCCTCTGTCTGTAAGAAAATCCTAACTTCAGAATGGGTTTCTTTACAAGGTTTTCAACATACTGCTTAAAAGTAAGACATTCATCAAAGCATGCTCCAGGGTATCTGTATTTGTTTCTTTCTTGCATTAGAAAATAATACGAGCTTGGATTTGTCTGTGTGCTTAGGCTGAGGTTTATGAAGAGCTTCTGTGCATAGCTCCATAAAACTGTCATTGGCATAACGATGAGCACGATCTGTATTCACACCTATATCATGTATGTGGAGAGAGAATAGTGTGTGAGAATTGAAATCAACCAGGTGAGCTGGTTTTCTCAGCTTGTCTCTATGTGATGAAGAAATGAAGTGATGTTACTATAAATCAAATATTAATGGCATGTTCTTAGCACTGGAGGCCAGAGAAACCTGACACTGTGCAGTTCAGCCTCTTGTCTTCTGTCTGACCACCTGTTTGGTCTCACCTGCAGGTTATGATGTCAGCCAGTGGCGGGAGACTCTGCTGCGGCTTGGACAGACCCAAGTCTTCTTCAGCACCACTGGTACACTGCCCTACAAGAGTGAGTCCAACATCTTCTCACATAACATCTCGCAAGAATTGCAGATGTTTTATGGAACAAGACTCAAGGCTGTAGCAGCTGTAGGAGGTGTGCAAATGTTACCTTATTCATTGATGCTTTATTTTCTAATAACTCAGCACCTAAAGGGGACATGCCTGGAACTGTTTATGCCTTGTCATGCACCACAGTGCTCATTTGAATATGCACATTAGAAAACTCAAACCTGCAGGGTAAAACATTGTGACATCTTCAGAGCTACTGCAGAAGTATCCACCTTGAACAATTTGATTTCATGTTGAGCCTTATTAGGCTTATTTATCATAAGGAAAATAAAAGCCTTTTAGTCAAGGAATTTTCTAAAATGATCTGGAATGTCACTCTTCATACAAAACATGATGGAGGTTTATGACCTGAGCAGGACTGTCTGTGTGCCACAGAGCTGAGCTACTGAGTGGACATAGTGACATGGAACCAGTATCTCCAATGGGGGTTGTCTACATCCGGCTGCACAGCAGGAGGAGCTTCACAGAGGCCCGAATAGACCAGTGAGTAAGTCAGTCAGGCACCTTGTAAGATTTGAGTCTTATAGAGTTGTTATACCCCAGTTCTTTAATTGAACAGATCTGAATGAAGATGGAGTCCGACTTGCTTCATTTTAGTGCTGGTTTATTTAAAAAAGACCACAATAAAAGTTACAGAAGCACAAACCCGGGTGGCTCCCTCCCTTAGACAAGCTGCTGGAGATGAGAGAGACCCCGGAAACACAGAGCCTAATATATTTATAAGGTTTTGGCTAACCCCTTACACAAAAAGATATAAAAACATCACGAGTTGGAGACAGACATAATTCTTACACAAGATTAATACAAGAAAACAACTGGTGTCAAGGTACACTTTTCAGAATCAACATTATCTTCTAACCTTGAAGCAAAGAGCAGACTTTGAATCTTACTAAACTGCATTAATAACAAATTAAATGCTAACACATTAAAGTCTAATAATTATCTGACTAATTTATTAATTTCTAACAAATTCCCCCCTTTGACACGATTTTTATTGTGTCAACCTAAATCAAATGTCTCTATTGTCCCCAGTTTAGACATCCAAGGAGGAGAGAGGCCCCCCTTACCACCCCCTCCAGGGAAAGCCCAGAGCTGAGTGAGTACCTAGGGAAAAATCTCAAATAATAACATAAAAATAATGGCATGTAAGCAGTTCTTCATTGCAGTGATCCTATATGTAAGCTTCCATGTGTAAGCTGGTCTTCATTACAATTATAGCATTTTTCAGACAAAAACGTGGAAATATTTAAACCACATGTAGCAAACAATCATTGGTTAATCATAACATTTGCAGGAGGAATACATTATGCTGGAGACTAAAGATCTTCCAGTATCACACGTTTATTACAAAATTCTACTCAATAATCAAAATCAGTCACACACCTATGAGTCCACACCACCTACGTGTATGCAAGAATATATGTGGGTATGTGTTAACCCTTAGCAATAATATGTAGAAAGGTCACGGTCTTCTTCCCCGTCGAGGGGTCCTCTTCAACCTCAGACTCACCGGGCTCAGTGAGTGAGATCCTGGGCATAGTTTCCTATGGATATTGGGGTATCTATTATCAGTGGCAGTGGTGATACACTTTAGACAAATATGCCTAATGCAGGGGATGCTGCAGCATTCACACAAGGTCAGCAAAGTAACTGCTGCCACAAAAGATGTAGCTAAGAAATCACTAAATGTTTCCACTTGCCAAAAATTTTTTAACAAACCAATCATCAATGTAATTTTTTTATTTCTGAATGGTCAGCCATCTCCTCTAATAAAATTTCAACCCTGTCAATAGAGCCATCAGGAGCAGTATTATTTAAGATGCAAGTACAACACTGTTGCCCAATCATAGTGTTAACTATTGTTCAATCAGAATGAAGTCTAATGCCAATCTGTTCTGATACAACATAAGAGAAGTGGCTGCCAGTTGCTCCTGAAACCTAACAACTAAATTTCTGGTAAGATTAGTGAGGTTAGTGAGATTAGTAAGATTAGTAAGACACTGAACATTAAACTAGACATAGGACAGTATACAAATATATTTATCAAATTGTCTTAATTGCCCTTGCCGTGGCCACACAGAGCAGTCAAGAATGTCACATGCATCTATCATTAAAATGGAAGTTTTACCCAAATTAAAAACCAACTCGAGTGGAATCAGGACATTAGCTCTTTTCTCACGGTGTATGTGGGACCTTGTTTCCCACCACAATATGGGTACCACTATAACCAGGCTAATGATGCCCAAAATGCAGAGAACCATACCAGGATAACTGTCTAAACCTGTCAGACTAGGCATTTTGTCTGCTGTCCCTGTCAACATTTTTGTTCTCTGATAGATATTACACTAGTGTAGGTCCTCTTCTAACTGTAGATCTGGTTCTACAGAATTATATGTCAACTCAGGTACTGAGGTTCTCAAATCAGCCTTGACCTCATTCACTGTCCGTCCAGCTGGATCCTCAGCTGGAGAACAATGTGTCTTATGGATCCAGTTACTTAGCTTGTTCTCAGTGAGCCACAGTTTAACAGTGTGTGGTAGTTTCTGCTACCTTATAAGGACCCCTCCAATGTGGCTCTGACCAGTGAAGTTTATGCACCTTTCGATAGACCCAGCTGTCCACTGCAACTGGTGTTGGTTCCTCAGGTTGGTCCCTGCTCAGGATTTCAGTAACCTGCTCAAAGACACTCATCACAGCGTTGTTCAGTCATCTGACATACTCACTCATGTCAGCATGCTGCAAAAGATGAGGTGTTAAATCTCTAGGCGTAACAGTTAGAGGACAGGGCATCTTTCTCCCTGTCAGGATTTCATGTGGGCTTACATTAAGTGTCCCATTTGGAGTGTACCTGAGGTTGAACAATACAAAAGGTAGAGCTTCAACCCAGTTAGTGTCTGCGCAGACTTTCACAAGCCCTTCTTTTATAGTTCTGTTTGCACGCTCAACAAGCCCTTGAGAGGCTGCATGA